GCCTTTCATCAGATCTTCGTATTTCCCAGGTAGGTCTCACCCCCCCTTCCCTTCGCGAGGCTGAGCGGCGCCCCAGTTCCAGCTCGTCGCTCCCTGCCCCGAAGCCATATTTCTCTGTCCACCCCTCAGGGTTATGCTCTGGTTCAGAGGTTGCGAGGCGTACAACATTCACGAATCCGTCGCGCCAATTTGATGCCCTATTTAGCACAAGCGGTGACTGCTTGACACTTTGCACCAATTCCCTGCTCTACAAATTAGCAGGAATTGTCATGGTCCCAATTTGAGGCGGTTCCCTCCCCGGCGAGGAGCTGTTGGCATCCCTTCACGCCGCCGTTTTCCCACAGAGTCAGTGCACTTGGCCACGATTCCCCACAAAGGTTTCAGCACCATGACCAATTGGTCAGCTCCTCCGGGCAGCCACCCACAGACCAGCCCTAGTCCCTCCGAACTACCCAGAGACACCTACCAGCCGGGGCTAATTTCCTTTTAAGACTCATTCAGGGCTCTGGGCTTTCCACGAGACCACATGGGGTGCCCTCTTGTGTGGGATGCCTGGGGTCGCCCTGGGGGAGGGAGGCTGGACCCTCCCACAACCCCAAAACTTCTTTATCCAACCTGATTTCTCAACCTCTTCTCATGCCCCCCCGCCCCCCAGCCATATTTTTTAAAAGGACCCTTAGGTTGATAAAATAAGTCTGAGGGAAGCCCGGAATTGTTCCTCGTCTAAAAGAGAAGCACCTTCAACAGGTTCCACGAGGTTTTTCATCCTGGAGCCTCAGAGGGTGGCTCAAAAACTCTGCACCTGGTCCAGACTCTGAAGGCCACCGAGGAGCCCCTATGCAGAGAGGAGACGGGCATGGTCGGTGGGGGATGGGAAAGCCAGGACCGCACTCCCAACTATCAGCCAGAGAAACAAGCAATTGCTTTTTAAAAGGGGGAGAGAGAATTCACCAACCACCACCACCACCACCATTCATGCTGCGGCTGATAATGGAATTTGCTCCCTTTCTCTCCCAACTCAATGCTCTAACAAAAACAACCCGAGCTTTATAAATAGCTTTTCATGTCCATTTAATGAAAATGATGCGGGAGAGAGAAGCCTCTGCCATCAGTATTCTCCCAATGGTCTTGGCCTGCAGTTGTGTTTAGTTTGAAAGTGTAAATCTCTTTTGTCCCCGTAATATATGGCTTTCGCTGCTTGTCCTCAGTCTTTTTCTGTTAGTTCATTACTACACAATTACCATTCACGCTTCATTAGAGTCTCTGTTTCTTTTGGGTCCCCCCCCTCCCTTAAAGCGAAACTCTCCCCCTTTTTATCATGCCAATACCCATTGGGAATCGGTCAATGTGCTAATTAGCTGCCACTTTTCATGTATTCCGGCCGAATTCTTTACGTTTTGTGGGGAAGGGGAGGAAAGATTAATATTTTTTTTTAAAAAAAGATGAATACTGATTGGGTTTTTAAAAAAAATCCAAAGAGGATTTTCTCCTCGCTATCGAATCAGTAAAGCACCTCATTTTCATCGAAAGAAGGCAAAAGCCGCCGAGGGCATAAAAGCTTATGCGGGAAACCCAGTGGCCTCAGCTGCGCAGTTTATTGTTGTGATTTATTTTTGCTGTTGCTGTGTTCGCTGATGTCCGCAGGATTGTTTCCCTGAGACCGCGGAATGGAAAAAAACGCAAACAGGCTATTGTGGGAGCTGTTCTCTGCGTTCCCGTAGCTTTACCTAATCCGGGTTTGCACGGTTGAAAGGGGGCGTTATTTGGGCGGAAAGCGCCTTTCGCTCTCGAAAGTTTGCGGGTTCGTGGCCCGTTCTGCGGGGAGGGGCGGGGTGGGGTGGAGAAAAGGGAGAACTTTAAAGAGATGAAGGGATCCGAGAGAAAACCCGGGGAGGTGACGCTGGGGAGGCAGGTGCCCCGCCCACTCACTCCCCCCCGCCCCCCCGCAGCTCGCCGGGGGCTGCGCCGGGCCGTGTTCTCCGACGTGCAGCGCAAGGCGCTGGAGAAGATGTTCCAGAAGCAGAAGTACATCAGCAAGCCCGACCGCAAGAAGCTGGCGGCCAAGCTGGGCTTGAAAGACTCCCAGGTGAGCTCCCTTCCGCAGAGCCCCGTCCTCACGAGCTCCCCCTCCCCCAGGAATCTCACAATTTTCTGGAACCCCTTGGGTCCCCTTGTGCAGAAGGGGAGAGTAAGGCCTAGGGAGGGAATGCGTGCAGGACCCAGCTTTCTCGGGGCTGCTCGGGACAGCCCACTCCTCTCCCCGCCTTACCTCCCGGGACTCAGCGTGCCCCCCACTCCCCCGCCCTCCCACCGTCTGGGCCTGGGACCCATGGGTGCGGCGAGAGGCGCGAGGAGTGGAGGTGGCGGTGAGGGGGTTTAATGCTGAGACCCACATCAGGGGATGGGGGGACAGGCTAGGAGGGGAAGGACACAGCTGCCTCCCCACCCCCACACCCCGCCGGTGCCCCGCCCCACGCCCTCACCTCCGAGGAAGGGTCTGCGCTCACCTCGGCCTCTGCCCTGCTCTCCCGCCTCGCACACCAGGTGAAAATCTGGTTCCAGAACCGACGCATGAAGTGGCGGAACTCCAAGGAGCGCGAGCTGCTGTCCAGCGGGGGCTGCCGCGAGCAGACCCTTCCCACCAAACTCAATCCGCA